TGTGTGTGTGTGTGTGTGTGTGTGTGTGTGTGTGTGTGTGTGTGTGTGTGTGTGTGTGTGTGTGTGTGTGATCTTTTACTGCAGAGGATCTCAAACTGGGGTCCACAAGAGGTATCTTGGGGGTCTTCAAAACACTTCAGTAAATTATTAATTTGGTTTTTATTTTTAAAAATGCATGGAGAACAATGAACTAATAAAACAAACATAATAGCATATATTCCCATGGCATTTAGGGGTTGAAATGACAATAAATTATCTTTTAAAACAGCATGGTTCAGGGGGTCCCTGGAAGTTTTTTGCTCTTGTAAGGGGTCCCCAGAGTCAAATGGCTTGAGATTTAGTGGATATGAAAAATGTAATATGCATTTTTTTTATGAAAAACAAGTGAATTGTCCTCATTGATCCTTTATCTGGGAGAAATATAAAAAACATCAGTAATGAGTCAATAATCAGACACAATGTTTTGTGTGATCCTTTGTGTTTTCTGACATTACTGCACGATCAAACAAATTATTGCTCTTCAGAAACAAACATWACAGGAGATATAAACCTCAGTGACTGTTCGAGACTCTCTTTTCAGTCTGAGTTTCTGCCTGTCTTATTAAGACAACACTCAGAATCAGTCAGAGCGCAGATCGACTCTCAGCTACTACCAAGCTGAATTCTAGCTCCGTAGCTAAAACGCTAACTAAGTTTTAGCCTTTTCTGTGTGAAGTGGTTTAGCTGTGGCGGCCATCTTGAATCAAGTTAGCTCCAGTTAATCATYCAGGATTTAAATTCAGTGAGTTTCGGTGAAATCAGTTCATGAGATATTTTGCTAACAGACAAAGCAAACACATCATCAGCATCACCTCTCAGCAGCAGGTGATGCTAATTATTACATTTCAGGACACAAACAAAAAGACTTCAAGTGTTTCTGCTTCAGATTTACTTTTACGTTATAATCTGTGCGTAACTTTGTGCGTAAAGCTGATTTGGTGAAAAACGCGTCAGTGAGCCGCGTGTCTTACCTGTGATGAAGGTGAGGAGGAGGAAGAGCAGAAGGACCACCATCTTCTTCAGCTGCTCTCAGGATCGTTTCCTGATTGTCGCCGCGGCGCGTGATGAGAAAAGAGAAACTGAAGGAAGAGGGTCACGTTGTCGCGCCCTCCTCTTCTTCATCTTCCTCTTCCTCTTTATTTCTTCCTTGCTTTCAGAAGTTTCAGTTTCTGTGTGACTGCGGTGTCGCCCGCTGCCGCGGCTGTAGCCCCGCCCCTTTCCCTCCTCAGGTCAGGTGAAGGTGAAGGTATCGGGCGACGCGCAAACCTGCAGATCTTTGACCGTGCGGGAGCTCGAGCCGTGACGTCACTCCACTGTGGGGACACGTGCCGCATCTTCCAGGTGTWAATCTGTGTGACGTCATTTCTGTTAGACCACCTGCACAGGTCGCTGGGGTAGATTAATTAAAATTAATTAGATTAAGAGAAAGAAAGAAAAAGTAAAAAAACGTTTATTGATCAAAACGAATAAAAGGAAATTAGTTTGTTGATTTTTTTTTTCACATAAGATTTTTTGTCCAGAATAAGTAAAATAATAAAAAGTTATTTCATTCGTGGCTAAAGATGCTTAAAGTTGAGTTAAGTTGATAAAAAGTTACATGTTTTTATTTAATTCTGTCACCACCAGTGTGGTCTCTGGTCTCTGAAGACAAAAACAATGTGAAGAAGCAGCAGATTGTGTTAAATCTGCATCAGTCTCCATCCTGAGCACATGACGAACAACTCTTGTTTTTATCCTAATTGAAGCTGCAGATAATTTCTAAGCAGATGTTTTTTTTTTTTTTTTTTTTTTTTGTGATTTCAGCTTTATTTCATTTATTTGTGAATATTTCTTTATATCGAAGGCTTTATACAAACCACAAGGCAGTAATAC